CATCTTGGGAGCTGTGGGGTAGAGCTTGCATGGGTTACAATATGCTCTACCTGCAAAGGCTGTGCAGTTCTCTTTGCTCCTCAGTACCAAATACTTCCAGCTCCCACATGCCAAATCAGTGACGGCTGGTGTAAGCAACGCGACCCCTTTAGCTATCAGGGGCGCTTAGTCGCCATCCCCGAGTCCTCACGTACATGCCGCAATTTGTGTTTCCTTTCCAACAGTAAGTGGCATGAGGGGCGGGACAATAGAAGAAGAAAGGACCTCGTGCTATGGCGCTCCCTGGGCCCGTCTTATGCATGCAGGTTTGTGGTGTTCAGCGGTGCTTGGGGCAGCCAACGGAGGTTGCAGCCCCGCCTGGGGAGGCGCGATACACGTCCAGCCCTGCAGGCGCCTGGTGCTGCAAACGAGGTAGGCACGGGTTGAACCGGAGCGAAGCGCTGTGCTGCGCTTCACAGAGCCGCCGCTACTGTCCTTAGCCTCTGCTATTGTGAAGTCAAGGGTCAAGGTTCGCGTACCCAACGACATCTACAGAGCACCGCATGGCATTATAACCTTTTGGCGATGAAGAGACAGCCGCCATGTCCAGCCGTGCCATTCGATTGGCTAATGGAAAACAAGCTGTGGCGGTGGTATGAGCGGGCCTCGGGCTGCCGGGGCTGCTGAGGCGGCCGCCGGAAATGAGGGGCCGTGCTCGCACATGCTGTCCATCTCGCAGGTTTTTCCAGGACGCGGCCGCAGTGCAGCAATGGCATCTACAGGTGGGATCCGCACATGTAGCGTTTCTGCAGGCGCAATGGTAGGGCGTTTAGCCTTACGACTGACCGCTGGGGCTTCCTTTCTGGCTTTTTCGCTTTTTTCTTCATTTTGGAAGCAGTTGCTGGTGTACATCAGAGCTGCTCACATGGGCGAGTTTTATTGCCACATTGGTGTCGACACCACGCAGGCATGTGCACGCTTTAAAAGCGCCGGGCGTTAGACGGCGTCCGCATTAGAACCACTCTATTCGTCTGCATGGCTGTCGATGTTTCCCCTACTGCTCTGCTGAGTGTTACAGGCCCTTCTGAAGCTCGGAAGTCGCGGCCGGCTGGTACCGCACGTGACAGTGTCCCAAGAGGACGTGGCTGACCGCATCAACGCGGTCGTAGGTTGCAGGTACGGGGCTCGTGGATCGGGTTAGGATATCCAGGGTCCTGGGTGCGGTGTCACACCGCCCGAACCCAATCTGGTTAACATGTATCCCACCAACTTCGTACCTCGTCCCCTTGTTTTCCAAGGCTTAAGCAACTTGTGCCGACATGGGAAACAGGTGAAAGTTATGACTGCCACTGAAACGCAGGTTTGAACTCATGGCGTCCTCTGCGTATTGCAGAAGCGAGACACGGCACAACTTAATCACTGAGGCCATGGCAACAAAGTCTGAAGAGGAGACGTTCCTGCACCTGGATGGTTTAGTGCACATCCCATATGCTCAACCACATACCTTCTCATTTAATTGGAGGTGTGACAATGGTCTGAAAGGCGGGCAGACGTTAGAAGCGAGCTAAGCTCCATATACGGCATTTACGGCAATACGCGCCGAGACTAGTTTTCGTCTTTCCTCCAAATTGTTTCTTCTAAGCTTTGGTTGTTGCGGAGCCTTAGCTAGGAATAGAGTAAAGATGGCACTGCGACGGGTAGTCGCGACGTTGATGCCAAAGATATCGCAGCCTGTCGCAGAGACAGTAGGCCCGGTTGCCAACCATGCAGCTTCTTGCTATTCCCAGATGCTTGCTGGACCTCTCGACTTTGTCGAGCGCCCACAGCAACCAGCTGGAAGCACGTTCCGATGTAAGCACGCCCTCCGTTAGCGGCACATCCTATGTTGGAATAACCAGCATCCATTCATATGTTATACGGATATGGTTTTGTGCAGCTTTTGCCTCGGATGCGGTGACTGCCCTGAAAGAGGAGGAGACCAAGCTGACTCCCACCAATCGGATTTCCATGTCGCCGACGCCATACATTAAGTAAGACCGACTGCGCTTGTCAGCCTGTTGACAAAAGCTGGATTGACTGCTTGTTGTTGCCATCCCAGTCCTTTTGTTGTATCATCAGCGTTAATCGGCGCTATGTAGGTATGACGAGCACCACCACAAGCGGTTTGCGCCGGGCACGGAGGGTCGGCCCTTCGCCTATTTTGTTCAAACCGGTGGGCGCTTTCTGTACGCGTCCGCTGCACGCCTGGCCGTGCTGAAGATAGTACTGTCGTTGTCGGTAAGCAGTGGGCTCATCTTCTGTGGCCACAGCCCTGATTAGGCAGGGGTTTTGAATTATAGGACCTTGTATGGCGCAGGCTGCAGCTGATACCATGGCCGTTAGCTCCCTGGAGGTCGACCTATCTGGCGTGGAGGAGGGCTCGACTATCACAGTCAAGTGGCGTGGCAAGCCCGTGTTCATCCGCCACCGGACGGATGCGGAGATCCAGGAGTCAGCGGAGGTGGCGCTGTCGGAGCTGCGTGACGCGCAGAAGGATGTTGACCGCGCCGTCAACCCGAAGGTGACCGCTGCTCGTATTTTTTGTTGATGTTCTTACAGCGGGCTACCAAGCTTCTATACCGTAATGCAAGAAACCGAGCCAAAGGGCACATCACATGGAAGAACAAGTGGTCCGGACCGGCATGCACAGCACCAAAGGAAACTTGGCGACGAGTAAGACCGGGCTAGTACTCGTGCCAAGAGGGGATTTTGCCAATATGGCTCCCCATTGAATGACAAACTCATGCATACAAATACCGGCGTACTAGTGTGGCCTCGATGTGAAGTGCAGCCAAACACGCACGGGACCACCTTCATACCAAGCTGTTTTCAAATCACCCTAGGGTGGATTTACCCAGGGTGGAATTACCGATTACTTCGTCTGTGAGCGGATCCATGCAAAACATATCGTTGTCGAGTTGCAAAATGCTGGCGAGCGAAGCAATGAGTCTACCGTCACAGCCTCGCACAGCTCAATTAGGGTCCTCTTGCATGTGTTTTGCAGACGGTGAGCATGACTAGTATGCCGTCTTGCACTTCCCACGTCATCCCCTTTGTATGGTCTAATCATATCAATTTGTATGTGCGTACACGCATGCGGTGGTTCATCTCTTCACCTCATCCTGCCTGCGTATATGTCCGCTTCGTCGTTCGCATTCGCAGTACCTGGTGGTGGTCGGCATCTGCACGCATCTGGGCTGCGTGCCGATTGCGGGCGCGGGTAACTACCACGGCTGGTTCTGCCCATGCCACGGCAGCCACTACGATATCTCGGGCCGCATCCGTGAGGGTCCTGCGCCGTACAACCTAGAGGTGCCGGAGTACCGCTTTGTTGACGAGAAGAAGATTGTCATTGGCTGAGCGGCATTGGCATTACACAGGACCAGCTCCGCGCCTCCAGCTGCAGCTCCACAGCGGGCTATGGTAACCATGACTGGTCTCCCGACTAGCGTGCCACAGCAGAGCGTTGTGCGAAATGCAAAAGAACAGAGGCGTTGATGCGGTGGATGAGCAGCCTGGTCCGCATGGGGGGTTTGTGGCGGTGACCCCTCTGTGGGTGAGTGCAGAGCGTCCCTGCGTCCCCGCGCTGTCATAGCTGAGGCTGCTAGCAGCGGAGTGTAAAGAAGCTTAACACTCTGGTTTTTTGAAGTATTTGACGTGCGATGCCGCCTGAGTACATGTGCAGTGTGGGTAGAATTGCGGGCCATCCCTAGCCTGTTGCAGGTGCGGCCCTGTTAACGCGGCCCTACCCTGCTGCAGGCGCGGCTTGTTAACCGGAAGTTCAGTATGACGAGTGGAGTAAGAGCTTGCTGAGAGGCCTTACGCTAGTGAAAATTCATGATCTTAGCTGGCATAGGCCATGGTGATGATGAAGTTGATAGGCCTTCGGAGCAAGCAAATACGACGGTGTGCTTTTGGAATGGCGCTTGTTTACAGAGTGGCACATTCCGGTATCATAATTGTTCAATAAAACCATTATATTTCCAGGCCCGGTTTAGCATTCGCCTATGTAATGTATCACGATCCTGTGTTCGTCAGCATGGACAAATCCTATCATCTACCTTCGGACTGTTTTCCCCCCCCCCCCCCTATCCCTGTCTGCAGCATAATCAGTATTCCACACAAATCATCTACCCGTATATCCTGCTTCCGGAAATGAAATTCAACCATACCAAAGAATCACTACAGCGGCGCTGCGTCCTGGTCAAGGCCACACGGCATTTAGCACGTCGTGTCGGCATGGGCGTCCGTAATACTCATCGTCCGAATTACCCATGTTGTCTGTTTTTAAGAAGCGGCGAACTGCTGATCAAACAACGATTAGGTAGCGTGACTAGGCAATAGGGATATTGCCTTGCCTGTGGATAAATCATGCGGCAAAGTGAGTCCGTGGATAGAAGAAGATGAGTCTGCTACTTGTCAATTGAAGAAGGTTATAATAAATCACAGCCACCTCGTAGATCCCTTAAACCGCCACTGTAACTACTCTGAAAGCCTTGTCGCTTCCCCCCTGCCGTCCATTACGAGAGTACCCAACATCCCATGACCCCCACATACGTCGCAGAATCATCTGACATTTAATCACTGTCTTATCGGTGGGGCTGCAGCCATATCCGCAGCTTCCACGTCCGTTCTGTGCCCGTCCTCCCGGATATCTGTCAGCGGCGTCGCCTCCGCTTCATCTTGCGGTGCGAGCCGACTGCTGCCTTGCCCACTGAAACGCTCCACAATCTTTGTAGTCAATGCTCCTAGAGTGCTGCGCCCAAGGAACACGACCTCGCCCACCGTAAACAAGGCCGCAATGGCGGTACTGACACCAATAATGACAGCAAAGTTAATGTTTAAGGCAGCCCGCGAAAACGCCAGCGGCGGCTCGCTTGGGGACGTTTCCACAACACCAGCCGCTCGGCTGGCTGCATCCTGTGCCGCTGTAAAATTCACGCGCGCTGAGGGTGACGACGGTGGCGGCGGCTGCTCAGTCTTGGCCTCGGAAGGCGGTGGCGATGCGAGGAGGGTGACGTTGCCGGGTGCCGGGGTGCTGTTGGGCCGCGAGGCAAGGTCCGCCGCCACCTCCTCGCAGGGCATGGTGGTCAAGCCGACTCGGCCGTTCCGGCGGTCGTACTGCGGCGGCGTCGATGCAACGGGCAACGCAATGCAGCGGCAGCCAGACGCCGCGGGGCAGGGGGCATTGCGGCATAAAGCCTCGGGATTAAACATCTAGGACACACGGAAACGCGGGCGCGTTTCGGTGAAGTAGGGTTGAGACATAAAAGTGAAGGCACTAGGCAAATGGAACATGGGGTTTAGTGCAGGTGGGCGCAACGAAAAGGATGTGCCCTCCTGACCGAGGCACGGTTTCACACGCCGCAAGCCCCACGATCAACTCCATCTGCGGTAGCTTGGTGCAGCAGACCCCTTGTACACCAGGACAACGACAGGATACCTTTAAACCTCAGCGCAGACACGCGGCCTGCGCTCGAAATGCCAAAAAAGCACATGCACCTCCTCTCAGAATGGCTGAAGGGCTCCCGGCGTCCTCCCGCATAGTGCGGCCGTCTTCCCGCAAAGCAAACCTCACTCACCGTAACTACGACGTCTCGGACACTAACACCGCCAATGAGTGTGCCAGACCCGCCGTTATCAAAAACACCCAGGCAATACTCGCCCGGCCGCGATACAAACAGGTAGCGCAGCGGCGGCAGGGACAGCCGCGCGTTGTCGCCAAACACAAACTCCGCCGACGGGAAGTGATTTTCTAGGCCTTGGAAGTTGTCCGGCGCACCCTTCCAACAAATGTCGTTGTACTGCAGCAAAAAGACAGTTTACTCGCATCAATAAAAAAACGAGTGGTCCAGCGAAATATGATGAGTACGCGTTTCGGAAGTTTGGAAGCTGCCTGCAACCGAGGGAAGCCCATATCGGCATTTCACAGGAACATCGGCTCAAACATGACATGACGCCCTCCATGTCACCTTCCCTTCCGCACGCATGCAAGACCGATGGCCCCCTTGAGTCTTCGCCATTCGCAGCTGCAGCACCCGACCAGCTGCTCTCCTGCCGTAGTCCCGAATTTCTCCTCTAATAAGCCTTCCATCCCGGAAAATACTAGCAGGCCGATCTGTAGCGGTCGCCTATTACCAACCCCCAACCCACCCACATACATACGCACAAACGCATGCACACACCTGCGGATCAGCGCCCGGTGTAGATTGCAAGCCGTGAGACAGTGCGTACGACCCGATAGCTGCCGCCATCGCATTGAAGGCCTCTGTGGGTAGGTACGTGAAGGTAGTACCGCTGTCTAGTACGACACCGTATCCGCGGGTAAATATTCTCTGCGGGGATCCACCATCCATAGAGGTAAGTCATAGAGGAGGATCCTCCTCCCAGAGATGATAGCAGAGGCAGGAAAAGCAACAGGGAATGCAATGTATTGCGCAATGCACGCTCCAACACCCCTCTGGCGTCGTCTTCCACCGCCGTAATTGCGAATGCGCATGCATTTGTGTACCCACTTACCGCGTTCAGGGACAGCTCCACACCGTTCACGGCGATGCCGTCCATCCGGACGTTATAGTAGTGCAGGTGCAGGTTGTTGAGCAGGGGTGTGTATACCGTGTTGGCGCCCTTGGGCATGGGCACGTCGCCTGCGAGGAGGCATGCGGGAAAGGGAGGGGAGTCAGGGGGCCAGGAGGGGAAAGCAGGCAGAGGTGGAGGCTGCTATGTGGATGATGAGAGCTACACAGATAAAAGGCGGAGCCCCGCCCGCAACGATAAATAACATCAGCCCAATGGCTGCAACAGATTTCCGACAAATTTCCCACAGCCCCAAAATCTCTTCCTTCTCCCCATACGTGGTTCACCCGTTCGTGGTTTGCCTTTCCCCCAACGTACCCAGCAAAAGAATGCCGTCCTTGGGGTAGCCGAAACACAAAGAAAACACGTCTTCAATAACGCCCCGCGCGACGAGCTGTAGACGGCAGCGCACCGCGGCGCGCGACACAGAAAGGAGAGGGTTTGCAGGGGCAAAGTGTACAGTAAGCAGGCCACGGAATGTCCACCAGAAAAGTGACTGCGACACGGAATGTCCGCGAGCCGTGCACTATGGTGCCAGACAGGAGGTCGGTATACAGGCGGGTGAGTTCGATTTCATTCACAAACGCTCGCGCTCGGCCGGCTGTTACTCTCTCCTATCCCCCACCACACATACAAGCTTACATGCCCCTAGTAGTACATGCCCTGAGTAGAGGTGTTTCACACCCTTGCTATGTCATATCTCACGACACCGCGCCCTGGCCCCCAGGCCCTGCTCATGCGTACCTGGCTCTGAAAGGCGTTGTGGTTGTTGCCCATGCCCATGATACCGTCGGCCAACTGGCGGTAGATTTCCCCTGTCTCGCCGTTCTCGCAGCCGAACACCATCCGCACCGGGGGCTGGTCGTCTGGGAAGCCGAAAGCGTCCTCCACCATCCAGCCCTCACTGCTGCTGCGCTCCGCTGCGCCACAGTACAACAACAGACCACCACCAACACCATCACTAGCACCACAAAAGCAATACAAGCGCACAGAAGCAGAGGGCGCCCGTGAGCCGGCGGATAGCAGTGCAGGGTTTGGGGGTTTTCTAGCGCCGGCGTAACAACCGCAAGAAGGTGCGATAAAGCCCGCGCCCCCTGAAGACGGCCTTAGTGCGACGACATGTCGTAGGGCAACCGGGACGCAACGTAGACAATGAGTCCGCCTCTAGCACAACGTAGCCGCGATAGGTACACCACCAGCTCAGGATTGACGTGCTAGGCTGACCGCGCCACGACATTACTGCTGACACGATACGGTTTTCTGAGAATTTAGAGATTAGCCATCCGGGGCCCGAGGAGGGCTAAGACCTGCAATTTCCGTGCGGGAGAGAGCACACGGCCTTTTGCGCGTCCATGAAACCAGCTTGATTGCCTCTGCGCTGAAGTCGCGACCCTCCGTGGGGTCCACAACCGTGGCTTGGCGTGTTTTCGATAGGCTTCCGTGTTTTCGATATGGACAGAAAGCAAAGCAACGTGACCCAAATCGAAATTCTTGAAGCTTAGCAGCTCTGTCCATGCATGGTTGCCTTCCGGCGCGCCACTCATCTGGCCCACCTCACCCACTCCCCTGCGCCCTACCAGACAAACTCCAACAGCTCAGTAACAGACACTCCGAGCTCATTAAAAACACACATACCCGCTGCCCGGCACGGGTTCACGCACCGTAAGTCCGGCTGTAGTAGCATTTCTCGTTGTTGCACATACAACTGGGAGTTCCGCAATTACATAATGGATCGTTACAGGTCAGCCATTTTGAAGTGGATGACGAGTCTGGGTCAAACCATTCGTCCTGGCGAATGTCAGCGCAGCATTGGGCAGAGCAGGACAGGGCCAGGCAGGGCAGGCAGCAAAGCGCACCAACTTGAAGTTACAATAGGGAAAGCCTCGCACTGGGATGGCACTGGTTGTGTTCAAACGGGACGAGGGGTTCATGGAAGGGTCGAGTTTATTGGGCCGCGGGGGTGGACCTTGGAGAACCGCTTAGCACGCTCTAGTCAACCCAGTTAGGCAAGAGACGTTGCCAGCTTCTGCGCAGGATGCGCGGTGTTTGTGGGGTGGAAGGTGAGGGACATCAGGGGTTTGAGCTGAAGCAAAAAAAACGCCGCTTAAAGGAGGGCCCAGGCCGACCCACACATCCTTCGGCTCTGCCAGGTTGCGGTTTCTCCACAGGGAAGCGCAACTGCGGACATCAGTGCCACTGCAAAAAAGAGCGCGTTGACGTACATATCTGGAGGTGTAACGTTGTGAAGCTCCTGCGTATTATGGGGAGCCTCCTGGGGAGTCGTACTCCCCCAGCTCCTGCCAACAATGTCCTTACCTGGTGCTTTCCACAATGCGCACACCCTTTGCATGGGATATACGTGATTGTGCTCCCCGTATCTATGATCACGCTGAATTGCCTTGCCGGTGTCCCCAGCCGAAGGCTTGTGTAAAAGTACCTGCGCCCAGCCGCGACGACTTGCTCATCCCATGCCGATGCGTGCGCGCAAGGCTGTCCAGGAGCCTTACCCTACTTCTCGCACGGAACCCTGAACAGGTAGAGGACCACTTCGCAAGAGATGCCGCCGCCAGCTTGAAAAGCTTCGCTGGTGCAGCGGGACCATTAGGCTTCCGCGTTGCCGTTGGGGTTTGTTAAGCGCTGGTCCCTCATATGAAGAAGCATTTGCAAAAAATGCCAAGACAAGGATTATCAATAGTATCATTTCGACAACTACTAGACGCGGTCTATGACCCGCACTATTAAAGGCTGTTACGGAGAAATCTTTGTAAGCATTGCATATACTTATTGCTGATCGCATTATCTGCCTTGAACCTTGTCATGTCCTCTGTCTCTGTCAAGCTCAATTCACAGCACGAATAGCAGCATGCGGTACGGATTGCAGGTGTAGTAATCCGGGCACAACGATTCACCGACATGGAATTTTGCCGTTTTCAAGGCGAAGTATAGCATAAAGCTTGCGAAGCTCTTTATGCAAGACATGAGGACGTGTACTTTTGGTTATGGAATACTTGGAGTAACTTCGTGTGGGCACGCTCGGCTTGGGTATTGGCTTACACCTGACGCCGGCAGGTCCAAAAGGTCTCAAGATGGAAGTCTCGTTGCCAGTGTGCATAGCGTGCGTCTGCGGCCCGTGCCAAGCTTATTTTAAAATGGATTCATGTGTACTGCGGACCTGCGTCTGTTCCCTGGCTCGTTTGCGTCTTGCAACTTTCTACGAGCTTGTTTATCATGCGCATTAAACAGTTTGCCTTAAGACATCGCCGTTGATCTCACACACAGCCATAAGATAATCGCTGATGCTGGCGATTCCGGTGAGCAGCGGAGGAAACTGTTAGCATGGCGCAGGCTGAAGGTACGTGCAGGGTAGGCGTTCGTGCGAAAACAGGGCTTAAAGGCATGATCTTACACTGTCTCATCGAAACGCGCGCACACATGGCATAATGAATGCTCAGGCTTCGTCAAGCAGTGGTTTTGTAACAGCCTGGCTACGCTCTCAAGCCGTCTCAAGCTGGCCGATGGTCACCAGGGGAGACGGCCTCCTATGATGGCCATCGATGGGGATCTAGGTGGTGGTTTCCAGGGATCCAATGCGCGGCAGCACCCGGCCGTTTCCAAGCGGCGTGTTGGGTTCGTTGTGAGGCTTCGTTAGAGAGGGTCCCGCTTCCTAGATGAGCCTAAGAGGGCAGGAAGGCAAGAGCTGGAGGCAAGACTGCATTCTGCCTAGTAGGGCCTGATCGTAACGGATTTTTCGTACTTTTCGTACTTTTACGCCGAAGACAAACTTTATGCGCTGACAGAATTAAGTACGCGAGTTCAGTGCGGGCCTCAACGAACGGACACTAACGGACACAACCCCTCGGACAACAAATATGCCGCGTCCGTAGCTGGTATTCCATTTTAAGCGTAGGACCTACACATATTTTGCGCCTGTTGTTTGCGGCTTTACCTAAGGGAAGGTTCAGAACGTGCAGGAGTGACCTTTCGCGGGTATTTCATTACTTCACTCGCCAGGGGTGAAGTCGCATAAATGCCACACGCTGGAGCACCGAGTCACTCAATTACAACCCCCCAACATAATGTGTCCCCGCAAAGGCCCAACCTACCTCGTCACTATATGATCAGGCCCTACTAGAGGCACACAAAGTAAAGCACGATACCGCCTTAGCTTGCCGCTCGGAACAAACCTAATGCACGCTCATGCAACATGATGTAACATAAGTAACAGCAGGAGAATCTTACCTCATTCGTACGTATGTACATCGTTGCCGTACACCAATACAAGGCAAGGTTCACCGCGGTGTTTAGGAAGCCAGCAAACAACGCGCACGGTGTTGGCATTTTGTGTGCGTCCATTATGATGCACGCTGTCAGCTAGTTGCTGTAAGCATTGCCGGCTCATGCTATTAAGTTGACCAAATCGTCACCGTCGGAAGTAGCCAGAGGAGGTTCCAAAAAGGATTAAATCCGGGGTTGAACGTGCGTGCTGCGGTTCTGGTTGCACGCACGTCAGTGGTTTCCCTCATGCTAGCCGCCGCATGCGTGGTATCTGCGGCTCTCTGGGGGTGAGCCATCCCGCTCTATCTTCCGCAATCAATGCGCTGGATAGCGTACGCCCTCGCCCAGGCGCCTGCATGCAGCCGAGGTACCAGGGAGTGTGCGTGTGGTGCTTGGATAGATGGGCATGCAGGGTCGCGACAGGACTCCGTACCTGACCTGGAATCTGGACCTTTCTTCCCGATCGGAGACCCGCCCCCGTCTGGTTTGAAACGCAAGCGAGTGTACGGGGTTTCGGGGGTAAATAGGGGTGCGGACCCGCAAGCAATCCTGCCTGCTGGGCCCATGATAATGTACGAACGGCCATTCGAAGGGCAGCAACATACAAAAGGACAAGAAGCGCAACTATACGCAAGGTAGACGTACAGAAATAAGCGGGCGCCCATCTCGCAGTGCAGTCTGACGAACCCCCAGCCCGTCCTCCTCCGTCCACACATACCCAGCTCAGGGGAGAGCTCCCCTGCCCGAGCTCTAGCTGCATACGATTCGTTTTTACATCCCTTGTTTGCTGCCGCAAGCCGCCTTCTTGTGTTACAGCTTTATCTCTCTTCCCGGATTTTGTTCGTCCCCCGGCTGATTGCATGACGAACTTAATATAAGCATGTGTGTTGCTATCTTCGGGAGACATTTGCTGGAGCCGTCTAAAGGTTTTGTCTGCAAGCTCTCATCCAGAGCAAGGACTTGGTCGTCGAATGCGTCCGTCACGGCGGACGGGGCTACATGCACTCTGAGAGCTTTACCCATCCAGCCAACTGGCCATCCCTCAGCGGGTCAAGCATGCCCAACTGGCTCGGCGGGTCTAGCTCGGGCTTGCTTGCGGGGTTTTGGGGTATGCGGCAGTTTGCTCTGTCTGCACACCGTCGTCTGGGTAGATTTCTTTTCCAGTAGGACATCGATTTTTATTTAATCCCGCACAAGTTCTGTCCCCGTGGAAGCACAGCATCCAGGAGGCTAACAGAGTTCCGTTATGATCCGCAGGCCCATACGAAAGCCAGATGCGGGCACGATGATGACCAAATTATCAATCCATGTATATTTTGCTATTTATTTTATATAAAATATTCACTTACTTATTTATTTATTCTATGATTGTGTTGCCGTCCGGGTCTAATGTTCCATTTTGAAGACTCGAGGGACTCGCACTCATGCGCACTCCTGGTATTCCGAGGTTTGAAGTACCCACGCGCAAGCAAAATCATGCATCAGTACATGTTGAATGGTTTGCATAATCTGTTCAGGCCGTTTACTTGGGGGCCGTTTACTTGGCCGTTTACCTTTTCCCCAGTCCGTCGGACACATCTTTACTCTTGCAGAGCATTCCAATCCGATACGTGCGACCAAGGATCCTAATCGGCCGGCATATGCTGGGCGCTGAGGACGCTTGATCGCAGTCTGTAACCAGCTTATTTTATTTAATTTCTGCTAGAACAGGACCTGCGTGCGCCTTTCAGTACGCAAGCAAGGGAGCGCCACATACATCTGCATTTATCCGTCGCATTCATAGGTCATAGCAGCTCGAGTCGTTTGATAACATACCTCAACTGTAAGGTATGGGGTGTGTGAAGTATCGCCGGAAAACCCATTCCCTCCTTAAGGACGGGGCTTTGCAATCACGAACTTGCAGTTTTGAGACCGGGTGGGGGCACAAATAGATCAGTGCGTGCGCCTTGAATAGACCAACTTTCCAGTAGGGTCCGAGTAGGGCCCGACTGGTTGATGGCATTGTGCCACGATTGTATGCTCGTGTGCCTGATGTCACTCTAAGTGACCGCGTAATGGCAGGTTGGTTCAATATCCAACCTCATGCCAGTGGACGGTTTCTGGAGACTGGTGTTGTAGCTCGTGTGCGCAGAAAAACTATGAATATAGGGGATAGGAAACTATGAATAGGGGATGAATAGCTACTCATCTGTACTCAGCTATAGCTGCTGGCCGCAGAAAACCATGATTAGTTCAGTTGTGTGCAGGTTACCTCCCTCTGATGTCTTATATCAATGTACGAACTACGGTGTCCATCCACGATAAGATACAATATATCATCTTTTAGGCGTTTAGGTAATTGCGCTTGGGCCTTCGGCTCGTATGGGTAGTTTTACATATATGGGGTCACGCACCCCCCAACCATGTAACACACACACATATCCATTTCGCTCCTAAACTTCCAATACACTGCCGCAGAGCAGTGGCGAAGGAATAATTCTGCTTAGGGCCTAGACCAGGCAGTAACGAAACCGGGCGACGACAGAATTTGCAAAGGATAAGGTGGCGATTTGCACCAGTATAAGTGCATTGGTAGATCGCGCAGCTGTAAAGCATGCGCTCGGTGGATCGGAGGTTGCTTGGCATGTGCGCTGGTGCATGTGGCTGGCTTGAGGATTCGAACTGGTGAAGGCGTCTTACGTTGATAAGGGAGAGCTGATTCTGACCGATATAACGCCCCAGCAATGGTGGAGTACTTCTGCGGTCGTTCCCGTTAGATTACAGTTAGGTGTCTACGGCCAGCGTCAAGCCCAGATCGAAACAGTTACACACACATACTCACACACGCATACACACATACATACACACACATCCAGAGCAGGTTCGAGAACGCCAAAGAGAGCCAAGCAACTCCTTAAACACTGCATAACAACAGTAGGCGATCCCGCCACCATACAAATTGCATTACTTGAACCCAGCTACTCAAAACGGAGCGACGGAGGACTCAAGCATGCATCTACAACATACTCGCGACGAATAAAATAAAGGCACAGGATAGACCGACGCACGGCACACCGACGACACGACGTTGTCACAGACTCTCCACGGGACCCTCCTCGTCGATCAGAAACTCGGCAAGCGACAGTAGTAGTTAAGCAGAAATTGCCGGCAATCCGCCGCCGCCGTAAGGAAGGAACCCGCCCCACGCCGCTGCCGTCGTGTCGGCCTACCGCCGTCCTGGACTTTTTTCATCCGCGCGCGCACCAACATGTGCGTCAATACGTAAGCTGCTGTACGCAATCATAAGCATAAATTTCGTGAAAACAAACAAGTTTTCACACGTTTGAATGTGCACCCATACATGCGTCCCACCATCCAACAGCAGCTAGCCAAATTTAGCCACAAAATACTTACCGAACTAGTTCATGACAAGGAGCGAGTAGTTTGTTTCACATGCTCGCCATCGGCTCGTATACGATACGTAGCAGGACCTTCGTAATCCCGCTGCCGACGGGAGGAAGGAGGCTTGTGCGTGCATGCAAGTCCGAGCCCGTAAAACACGACTGAGCGCGCGTCGACTTATAAGTGTCCAAAGAAATAAGCTGTTTCTTAACTTAAATTCTATACACGATGCCGTGTGTCGCACGTACGTAAGTATGCATGGCGGGGCGTGCGTAACTACTTCCAGTAACGTGAGGTCTACATACCGCCTGCTGCCGCTTCATGCACACATACACAGGCAGGCGGCTAGCAGAAGTTAAGGCCTGACTTCTGCTCCCAGTCGATCCAGTCGACCCGGGTTCAAATCCGCCTGCCAGCTCCTCGGGTGTTTGAGGAGTGATGAAATGGGAGGTGGCCCCCCATCATATGGACGGTGTAGGACGTGATAATATCAACTTGCGAGCTGACCAGGAACTAAGTTGATGCGCCGTTGATCCGCTAGATTTGGTTGGATGCTGGTGGTGAGTTGCCGAACCCAACGAATACATTCTGAAGTCGGATGGGGTGACGGATTAGGGTGCCCCTCTAGCAGGGGAGAGCAGGGACTGCCCCGGGAAAGGGGGCCGCTGGCGAAGTTAACCACCCTGTAACAACATACACATGCTAATCTCTCAAACATGCATGCAGTTTCATCACTGGATGTCATGTGCTTACACGCCAGGCAAGGAGCCGGGACAGCGCTAATACGAACGTGTGCAGTACGGTACGCAGCCAAACAATGGCGCTGACATTTCCATGCGCCCACGTGGCTGGCTGACAAACGAAAACCCGGGCCACATGAAACGTAATGAGCATTTATAATGATCAATAAGGAATAAACATCCGATGCGCTTCCAGAACTGTTTGCACTTCACCAGCCAACTAGCGGGAGTTAATAATACGCCCATCCGCAGCTTATCGCAAGCTGTCTGCGTTTGTAATTGTCCGCCAGATAAAATGCATGCATGTGTCTATCCGGGCACTCAAGGCGCACCCACGTCAGTTGTTGGCTTGAGTAATTCGTGTGCGTGCATGTGTGCGTGCGTGTGTGCGTGTGCGTGTGTGCGTGTGTGCATGCGTGCGTCGGCTGCTGTTGCTGCTGCTGTTGCCGTTGCTGCGTGGTACACCAGCAGTGCAAGGTACACCTTGCCCCACATACAGATGTGCTTGAGGTAAGAGGTCAGGCAACTAAACAAGCCAGCACAGTTCCACCCCGCTCCCGCTGCACAAATCGCGACTGCGCGTCACATAGCACACCTACCAGCGTGGTTGCTGCTGGCGCTGTCTAGCACATGAACCGCAAATTTGTGTACGTTTTTCTATTTTTGCGCATTGCAGCGCCGACCCGCGTGTCGATCCCGTAGATAGATCGATCTTCCGCTCATGTCTTTGGCTCAACGGAGCGCATCCCCGCACAGCCCCACGTGTTAGCTGTTGCAGATCACACCAGCGTCTCGGCTGCATTTGTCATCAGCAGCAGCACATGGAGAGAAAGGGAGATGGGTATTGGTGTATAGATGAACTTGAGGTTTTTAACGAATTGATGGTACACCCAGCTGGGCAAAGGGATTATAAATCCATCTGTCGTACGACGCGACATTTGTATTACGTACGTGGTGAATGTTCTAGCATGCCCCAACCCAAAGCCGCCCAAGAACCTGAACCCGCATTAATCCCGCAATTCCAAATATGACACTAAGTATAAATAGCATCGTCAGAACCCGCCGTGGCGGTAGTAGTTACAGATAGGTCAGCCTGAACCCAACAGCCGCCGACACCACCACTCACACATGTGCCTTGCAGCTCTGGGTCACAGCCGCGCTGCCGCCATTGGCGCAGTCGAGCAACTTATTGTTGGCCTTGGTGCAGTTGACTTGAGTTAACCAAACCCGCATATCCTGGGGGCCTTGCTGGAAGGGTCCCGCTCGGGTGCCCTTGATGTTCCGGCTCGTTGGCCCCAACGCCCATCCGCCCTTGAAATAGCCAAGCTGCCTGCATCCAGCGAAGTATTACGCAAGAGGGAAGAGGAAATTCGTAAGAAGGGGTCAAGAAGGATTATTGATGGCTCCATGATGCCTCACACGTCTACATGTTGTTCGGGTATGCGCTCGTATATGAACAAGCATACGTGCATACGTTTCCAGCAGTACTGTGTGGACGCCGGTGGTGATGTGTATGCGCACGGGTATAATGGACGAGCACGGATGCATGCACGATCGATGTGACACGGCCGTATGTATGTCCATCTGTTCACCCTTTCAGCAGGCGAATTGCATTGTTATGTATGCGATGTTCAGATGTGTGTACCCTGCCGCATCATTCCTCATTATGAGGCATGAGGCTCGCCTCAACTGCACGTAATCGTGTGTGTGCGTGTATATGCCGTGAATGCACGCACATCCTTCATGCACGTCAGCCCAAGAGACATCGTGTAAGAAGGGATCGGCTCCCTTGGCATCTGCCTGAGTACTCTTTGCCTGGCCTTACACATCGTACTTACCGTTCTAAATCACACTTCGTATGTCGCCTGCATATGCGCACCTAGATTCTGTAGATACATACATTCATACATACCTGCATACGGTGTTGGCATCCACGTCATCCCAGCCGTCATCGCACACGGTGCCCCAAAGGCCGCCCTTGCAGATCTGCACGATACCCTCCCTGGAGGAATTGCCTGCCACCAGCCGGACCGCGCCCATGTTGTTGCCTGTACGTCAAGCCCAATGCAAGGAGGGGGAGAGTTAATTGCAGTTTGCATTTGGGGAATCTGGCAATGGCGGTAACCGTTCATCGGGGACAGTGTCAGATAGAGAGTACAGCAGGAGTAAGAGACGCGGACTGACCGCCGCCACCACGAGTGATGATGACGACCCTCGCGTCTGAGCGCGTTGTTGTCGTCATTCATAGCTGGCCGATAGATGCTTTATTAATATACTACAAGTATACTTCCCCAACCTCCGTCATTCCACTGCTACCCAAAGTTTCAGATCTCCAACAGACAGGTCGAAACACAACGAACCTACGAATGGCTGCAGCTGGGAGGCAAGAATCCACCTACCCGGCCGGCAGACCTGCTGCATGGAATCATTTTCTGCTTTTGACCAGCCATGTCATCAGTGTGCGCCAGTCCGCCATCACGTGCAAGTGCGCTATGTGTATATGTATGTATAGAGAGAGTCATCACACGCTAGCGAGGTATAGAAGCTGAACATGCGGATATGGAGGTTGCAAGCTAGGGTCCAGGACTCAGGCCTGAGGACACTCAGGTTTTTCCAGCTTTCTAAGCTGCTGCATACAGGTCACTATAGTTAGCTAACAGCAGATTTAAGGTATGATGTCCAGCGAAGGCGTGTTGATTGATTGAAATTGTACGACGGCGTGGTATGATTACCCGTCGTATGCGCTGATTGTGCTGCCCGCCAAGCATTAGCTAGTCCAAACCACCAGACCCGTGGATAGGAAAGCACCTCAAAAACTCCCAAAGCCCCTTCACTTACATGTGTACCGTCTGAGGCTTTGCCGAATGAAGTTCATGCACACCAGCGCTGCGTAGCCAATGGGTTGAGGACGTGTGGGCAAGAAACTTGGCGAGCGGGGCTAAGAGGACAAGCTGTCAGGAGGCACGTAAGTAATCAAGCAAGTTTGAGTGTTCAAGGCCACAAGGCCGCAAGGTGCTGAAAAGGTAAGCGACGGGCAACATATGCAGGCATGGAATGCCAGGAATGGCAAGAGGCCGGCACACTTGTGCATTTACCAGCCAAACACGACGACATTCGATGCCGCGGGCGAGGAGACGCGCATGCTGCATATAATGTAAATACAGTAAATACAAAATATACATGCACGTATGTGCCTGCTTTGCGGTGCATGTGCAAATGCCGTTATTCCACGGTTAATTTTTAGCATGTTTTAATTTAGCAAGGCCGCGCTTCGGTTAGGTCTCCTAAGCTTTTTTAAACTAAAAAAGCAAGAGAACCCCACCCAGTCCGCGTGAAATACAAAAAGAAATAAAATGACGGTGGTACGAAAGAAAAACGTACCAACATCCTGGTGGTGCATGCACTGACGAGGCATGGCCAAGGCGCTGCAGGTGGCCAAGTCTTCCGCACCGACGGGGCACTGCACGCCTCCGAGCATGATGGGCATGAGAGGGGGGTTCGTCTGGAACGTGTAGTACTGGCCGTTAGCTCCCCACGTCGGTTGGTACGGCTTGTAAATCGGAAAGCCATCCTTATAACCCAGCTGCCTGTAAATGGGCCGCCAAGGCGACCAGTGTCACGGCGACTAACAACAAAGCGGTTTCGTCTATAGAACGGGAAGCGGACGATACATGGATATCAGCTTTTTGCTAACCCGTACACTGAATCGTACGTACAAGTGTATGCTTGGGGACGTACGTACGGCAAGTGACGACGCGCCTTACCACACAGATGTTATTAATTTGGCCAGCAGCAGTACGTATTGTTCACATCTATAGCCAAAATAATCGTTCAACTTGCGCCCTGCGGTCTAGTTGTTTAGTACCGTCGTACAGTACGGCATGCACAAAATCAACATTACGCTAATAATCGGCAAAGGCCCTTTCTCGGCGGCAGCTAATACGTTTGATTCCATGACCGAAACCCTAAGTGCCCACCCAAGCGGGTTCCAACGAAATCGGCCAGGTCACCGATTGGTGCATGCATCCATGCATCCATGCAAATGCTGGCATGCCTGTTGGTGACCCCCTGCACATCTGGCAATCAATAGGCAGGTTTTAGATTGAGGCATCATGACCGTTGCTCCTTATAGGTAGTGAAATTCATTCTGCTGGCCCTAGCTAGCGCCCCCTCAGGATTTGTATGGGCTCGTTACACCATCGGCGGGTACGGCAACCCTAGAAGTTTTAACACACAAAAACGCACATATGGGGTTGCGTGCTATGGTCCAGCGAGGGTGCACAAACCCCCGTACAACTGCATACTGGGCAATACGAGCGGGACGTGTATGAGAGTAAGAGTCGTAGTGGGGATGTGCAGTCCAGCGTTTATTGCTGCTTTTTTAATGGGGGAGCCCGCCCGGCACCGATAAAGTGACGGACGGTATAGGTGACGCGACGCGCTGGGACCACCACCCGCATGCCTGTTTACGTTGCCTACGCTTTCAAGGACTGTCTTAACTTCATCCCAGCCATCACTTACATACATACGTAACGACATGCGTTGTTCGATTCCCATGCATTGCGACGAACGGAAGTGTATGTGCATGCCTACCTACCTGCAGGCCGCACGCGCCTCTGCGAGCCTGAATCCCGTACCGCAGACAGAGCCCCATTGGGCAATGCCGCTGCCATCGTCACCGCAGTATTGCAGCATGCCGTTGTTGGGGGACTTACCGCCTACCAGCCTGACGTCCCCTGGGTATTCACCTGAACACAAAGATGAGTATTGCCCGCGGGTTTTGGTGCAGCAGATTAGCGGGGACATGTACTGGTCAGCACACGCACACAGCTACTGCAGCAGCGGGTAGCTAGGGCTCCGTCGATTCGTGATGCGGATGGCGGTCACGGATGTTAGGACCGGGAACGGGTACAGACAGCAGTTGTGAGGCATTCCTTTCCGCGGGGCTCAAAACTATTATGGAGGGCGAACTGGGCAAGCCTCTAGACAGTTATTAACAAACACTTGTTAAAATATATAGACAGATATTAACTTGTAAGATAGAGAAAAGAAGCCAATAGAGATGAAAAGGCAGGTCAACTCCCCGCTTTTATAAGTCTTGCCTCTACAAAAAGACGCACGAATTGCGAACTGCCGCTACGCCCCCTAATATCATTCGAAGTCAGACCGAGCAAAGCTGACTACTGACCGGACATTCCTTCGCGTGCTACCATAGATGGGTGTGGGCCCCTTTCTTAGACAATGCGGTGCCCTGGCACAAACACGTATTGACTCATCCATCGGCCGGGAATTACTGGATTATGATGCACGCGTATGCATGAAGCGACGTTGCATATCTGTCGTTGATGTCACTACCGGTCGCCTGCCTGATGTCCTTAAGCTTACATGTACTGTCATCCACAAGTGGCGACGGCGGTGGAGGCAGCAGAGGCGGTGCCGGTGAAGCCGACGGTTGTGATGGCAGCGGAGGCGGCGGCGGGTATGGCAACGGCGGAGGTACTGGTACCGGGGATGGTGGGGCCGAGGGTGGTGGTAGGGGCGGTTGCCGTGGCGGCGGAAGTGGAGCACGCGGAGGTACTGGTACCGGGGATGGTGGGGCCGAGGATGGTGGTAGGGGCGGTTGCCGTGGCGGCGGCGGGTATGGCGACGGCGGAGGTACTGGTACCGGGGATGGTGGGGCCGAGGGTGGTGGTAGGGGCGGTTGCCGTGGCGGCGGAAGTGGAGCACGCGGAGGTACTGGTACCGGGGATGGTGGGGCCGAGGATGGTGGTAGGGGCGGTTGCCGTGGCGGCGGCGGGTATGGCGACGGCGGAGGTACTGGTACCGGGGATGGTGGGGCCGAGGGTGGTGGTAGGGGCGGTTGCCGTGGCGGCGGAGGTGGAGCACGCGGTGGCTGTGACGGCGGCAGCGGTTGCAGTTGCACTGGCGGGGACGGTGGCGACGGAGGCGATGAACGCGGCGGCCGTGGTGATGGCGGTGGTGGCCTTGGCGACGGCGGCAGGGGCGGGGCCGGCGATAGTGGTTTCGGTGGCGATGCAAGCTGGGCGGCGGTGATGGACGGCGGAGGAGGAGGTGCTTCCCAAGTGCAAAGGAGTGCCACATCGCTCCTGGAGGCAAGGGGAGGAAAACCGCCTGAAATGATATGTATTCCGAAAGCATAGAAGGCGCACGAAGAAACAACTAGGAAAGGCGAGACAGGAGCAAACAAGCAACCTTCAAGCGTCTTCTCAAATCAGCACACACACACACACATACACGCACACACGCACATGCAAGATCGCTGCGGCGATGTTCCCTTCAAGCACACGTGCCCTTACAGGTGCGTGCAGGATCCGCCACGTGAGTAGCCGCACTGTGTCAAGCGCTCCTCTTTACCATTGCAGTTGACGTCCTGCATGTTGATAGGCTGACGATACGTGCCCGGACCGTAGGGGTTGGGCGCGATGGTGGGTACAACCACACCGGTCGAGAAGCCAAAGTGCCTGCATGCGTACGGGACGTGCAGGCAGTGCATAAACCGCATGTTTCACATCAGATGGATTGTCACGCGCATACACACATACATACGTAGGTACGTACACACCTGCATGCCACGTGCGCATCCTTGGCATCGAAGCCGATGCCGCACACCTGCGTCGCATTAGGGTGACAGGACTCCCTCGCTCCAAGACCAAAACAGCCTTGTAACCATAACTCTGATGCTGCACAGCCAGCGAGCTATATCCGGAAAAACCATTACTAAGAATGACAGCTTGTGATTGCACTGATACAGGTTCGAACCTGTATCGAAACGCATTTGATAAGAGTGGGGCACATTCAAACGTTCTGTTTTATATTGAGTCCCTTACTTCGACCCGGCTATTTGGCGGCCATTTCAATCATAGCCCGTGGCCATTCGGCGCCCCAGAAGGGTGTCTGACGGTGACTTGGATTGACATCCAAAAACGTGTCAGTGGACGGTCTGTGCACGCAGACAGAGGCTGCAGGCGTTATATCTGCTTGGAGGAAATACTGGTGGGTGGCCATTGTCAGCTCCTAACCCTTTCATCGTGGGGACCCTTCACATATGCCGGGGGGGTCATTAATGGTCCCCGAGTCAAAATTTGCTTTTCACATGACAGGCTGCGCTAGATAGCTAGATGCTAGATAGCTGCTGACCTGGCCCATACCTACCGTCCCCCATTGGCCATTCAGACAGATCTCCAACCGCCCACTGTCGTACGTGATGCGTCCGATGGAATCGACGAGCCGTACATTTCCCGAGTTGGGGCCTGCCATTGTCGGGCACCATTGCGTAACAGAGACATGTATGCGCGCGAGCAGCGGATCGACTGGACAGATTGGAACGGCTGCAGTACGGCCCGTACTAGCAGCACCTTTAGCAGTAATCGTACTTTGTGAAATGCATCTTGTGGACTCCATGCGCGAGTACAGGGCACTTCCATTCAGCTTCAGCAGCTGGAGAACTCGTTTGATCGACCGGATAATGTACGGGATGGTGCTGCCAAATCAGGACATTGTACGGAAGCTATTCACCGTTTTCATGTTTTCGTTTTATGACGGTCTCTGCCACACCACTCACATGGGAATGGACCAGGCGGAGGTGGCGCCTGGCGCGGCCCAGGTGGGCGGCGGGGCGCAGGCGGGGGGGGATGGCTCCGCGAGCACTTCACTCCAACGTCACTCCTGCACAAGCGCAATCATGCAACATATCCGGCAGAGATCAGGAGCAACGCGCGAGCGCTTGAGTGAGGGAGAATGATGTGAATTAATAACCACACCGGCGCAATCCCGCAGACGCGCAACGATGGGGCCCGCAGCGGGTCCTGCATCCATCCACATCCACATCTATCCCTGCCTGCGCCACATACTCGACTCATGCCCCTACCACAGGATCAGGAAAAGCTGCGAGCGAACTTACCAGTGGCTGCACATGCTCGCTGTCCAGTTAAGGGCGCATTCTGCCAGTGACGCCTCATTGCCGAAGCAACGCAAGTCGCCGACCCACACGGTGCTGTTCGGATGGCCCTGAGCGACCTGGCCTTCCTGCAGCTCAGAAGATATAGGATAAAAATGATCCACGCGGCAAGGGCTCGTGTATGTACAGACAGACCCACACTGGTGTACGGCCGCCGTACATCGGCGGCAGCGTACCATCAGACCGCATGAGGAGCTATAGGGCAATGAGTTTAACGCAATGGTCGTGCATGTGATCATTCTCGGGGGTGTATGTATCCAGCAAGCAAAAAGTGCGTTGGATGATTTGGTTGGGATCTCTATATGTAAGAAGAGATGTAAGTAGAAATTGAGTGTAGAGACACGTTTTTCGAGTCAGTTCATGCAAAAAGCATAAGTAGCATCCTTTTGATGTACGCTATCCATTATTAACAACCGTTCTGAACGGTGTATCGGACTGGTTTTGCGCTACTTTTGAGAGCTTTGAAGGGGCAGGCCGTACACACAACTGGCACTCGGCACGAAACAGAGAAACAGCCAGCGCAGCCTGATTACAGCAAAACAGACAGTCCCCACGTACGGGAAAACGGGGGTGCGCCATGCAGAATGACAGTACGCATGATTTACGTTAAGTTCCGCACGAATTGGGGGGTATGCAAGTCCGTATGTAGGTGCATTTCAGCAGCGCACACGCGCATGCTACTGCAAGCAAGACGTGTATGTTGCACGGAAAGCGCCTGCTTTAAGAAACGATGGCTCGGCTGGATGATCGGTGTTTGGGCCTACGGCAGCGCATTTGCGTGTGCGTGAGGGGCGCCCGCCATTACTCTTCCATCAGGTAAGAAGGGGTGCCGTGCAAAGCTACACGCTGCATGTACGAATGCATACCTGCGGGCTGCTGGACGCCGGCATAGGGACCCGCAGGACCTAGGGGCGATAGGGCCCTGATCTCAACTAGCGGACGTGCACGTCAGCAGGCATATCGCTTACCGGCAGAACATTTCCGGACGCATAGCCCAGCTGTCTGTGATCCAGGCGAGCAAGCAGCAGGGAGAAATGGACAGCATTAAAGCGTCCGCATCAAAAAAATGTTCGATCTCATTCATCGTTGATGGCAAGATTCGATATGCAGATCTCAACAAGTATATGACAGAGTGAGGGGTGGCATGCGTCCAAGCTATGGCGGGCAATGGACATTACGGCGTAGAGGTACAGACGGACACAAGCACCCCTCAGTCGTAAATGGCCGCTATATATGCAACGATGATCTGGCCGCCTCTGCTTGCTGCGTGCATTTTTCCATGCATGCACTGTCGTGTTTCACCTCAGGTAAAAATATCCACCTACCTAGCTTGTGTCCTCTAGGCCTCCCTGGTCTACTGCACCCGCCTCAACCGAACTGAACTTCACTCCCCGCTTAAACTCCCCAACACACACACAAGCACATGTACATACGCACACACGGACACACGGACACACGCACACATCTGCACACGGGGCATCTGTCCGACTGGTATTATCCCACACCAAAACATACATACATACATACACACGCGTCTGAGATATTCCCTTCTAACATATACACACACCCACACCTGCAGGCGACCGTGGCGGCGGCCTGGTTGAAGCCGCTCTCGCAAATAGTTCCCCAGTAGCCCGATTGGCAGATCTCCAGCCTGCCCAGGTCGCCCAGGTCGGTGCCTACCAGACGCAGCGCACCCTCCAAGCTGCCTGTAGCAAACGCCGGTAGGTGATGTCTCAGTAAATGGATGGGTGGTGCTCTGTACGTCCATCGTCGAACCCGTCATCGACGACGTCTGCTGGCAGGACGGTGAACGGCGAATCGCAAGGAACCGCTGCATGGCGGCCCTCCAAACAGATATACATAGGGTGAAGAGACCGTCTCGCAACAAGTCGCATTCGAAGGGTTTTTCAAACAGTCACACTTGCTGGCTCGGAGGAGCCCTTGCTTTAAGGAGCCGTTTTTCCTCCAAGGAAGCGCAGCAATGCATGTGAATAAACTCATGTGAATTCCAAGGCCAGTCATGACAGGTCGCCAGGGCAGGCACATGTAAGAGCGTACACATGCGCGTGGGAGCGAGCACTACATTTACTTTGTATATCCAAGGCATGCTGAAATGGTTCGCATCCTTGCTCACTACTCACAGGGCGTCGGTCTGTCCACGAACCCGATCGCGTCGTTGGCGCACTCCACACCCGTCACCATTCGGAGCGGGCAGCCGACGTCTTCCATACCCCAGAAGGTGCACGATGTAAGCCTCGACGGCCAGAAGGTATAGTAGCCGCCGGGCCAGAAGCAATTCACCTCGCTCATCCAAATGGGCATCCCTGCTGAGGACGTGCACTCGTTTGCGGGTGCGTAGCTTATGCATAATAGCCAGTGCGTGCGTTTGTGCGTCCTCCGTAAGACACTCGCTCCCATAAAGGCATGCACCCTTACGTACATAATGCATAGGTATTGTTGTGTCCCGGGATTGTGATATCCGCCGATCGGTGCATTTCTGTAGCCGTGATACAACAGGCAGGGGCACCTGCTTGTGCTTTCTGACGGGAACTAGTCAGCTGTGGCTTCTTCTCTCTCTCGCTGTTTAACACATTAACTTTCTGTTTTCATGCATTATGGCACTTCGTTGGGGACTGTCGCCTGACGATACGCAATAGGGGATTTAGCTACTGCCGTTGCCATGTGTGCTACTGCCTGTGTGCTTTTGGGGGTAATCGCTTGAGCACACCACTCACAAGGAGGGTCATGGTGATGAGGCGGAGCACTACTGCGGCACTACTGCAGATGGCAAGCTGATGGCAGGCAAGCGGTGCTCTTGGATCAAGCTAATCAGACACACCTGGTCTTGGCTCTGCTGGTATACTTCGCCCAAAGGTGTACCCCAGCTGGCGACAAGCGATGGTGGCCTCCTCGTCACTGAAGCTCATGGCGCACACCCCGCCCCATTGGCCGCCGTAACACACCTCCAACCGACCCACAAGGGAGGCGCTGTAGTCACTGCTGCTGCCATCTGAATCCACCACACGCAAATCCCCCGGTGAGAAGCCTGGGGAAGCGAAGATGAAGTGAGCACACGTTCCGAGTTTTAAGGGGTGTAAAGGAAGTGGAGAGCACGTTGAAACTACGGATGGGGTATGAAAGCTGGGTGTGGTTTGTGTCATCGCCGTTGGACAGCGCAGCAAAACGCGTAGGGCATGGTGGGCATGCACGCCGGCGTGCATAGTGGTGAAGACGCTAAATGCGCCAAGATAGTTAAACCCGTGGTGCCGTGGCAGGCATGCGCATCAACCTTGTAGTGTTTTGGGTATACGATGCGAAGGAAACTTCACCAGCCAGTGACATCAACTCCCGAGTCTCTTAATGGTAAGGTCGGATGCAGCAACACCTCATCAATTCAATGGCTGGTGTTGTTGTACAGGGCTTGATGGGAAGTTCTGTAGCACGCGCAATAAAATAATAGAGTATTTCCCGGGGTCCGTGAACCCTAGCTACATCAATGTGCATGCAGGGGGGTTTACAGGGTTAATAAGAATGTGAACTCACATAGGTCCTCAACGGCCGCTGGGGCAACTCCGATGCTGTCGTCGAAGGATGTCAAGGAGCAGACCACCCCCGCATCGGCCCGGTGGCTGCACCCAGTTTGACCCGGAGGCACCAGCACAGGGCAGTCCTCCAGGGATCTCTCATGCCCCCTGCAGTAGACCTGCCCGGAGTACAGCATATTCCGACAGGAAGAAAATCGTAGACAGGCAGGCAGGCGAGCATACAAGTACACAAGCAAAGTGGTAATGATAAATGCACGCTTGCATCTTATCTGCAGACTTCCTGCTCGTCACGCCTTGTACATGACCAGTGCCGAGGAGCCACTTAAGCGGCGAATCAACAGTATAATGTGCATAAAAATGGCCTACAGGCTACCTAACGAAGCATTTTACCATTATACACGACATAAAAACATACAGACATACCTGCTGTAGCCAGATGTGCATGCCCTCCGGACCGGGCGGGCTCTGGCCGTTGGCCACGGCACCCTTAAGCGCCGTACCGTACGGATACCCCAGCTGGCGGCAAACCACTGCAGCGTCCAGGTCATCCCATAGGTCGTGACAGATGCTGCGTAGGAAGGGACCGTGCAATTGCAGTGCATGGTTCATGTTGTAGCGTGTTTGGTGCGTGTTTCATGTTGAATCCCGGGCGTATCAAAGAATTTGCACCCATCGAATCGGTGTTTTTCTGAAGTCGTGATGTAACATGTTAGACGGAGGCGAATGTGCTTAACGCTCCCTTCATACACCCCTCCATACACCCCTTGAATCCCGGGCGTATCAATCCAGCTACCTCTTACCTGCCCCACTGCCCCCGGCTGCAGTACTCCACGCGGCCCCACCAGGCGCTGTCGCTGTCCTGGAGCCGTACCGCACCTTCAGTGTAACCTGAAGCGCGGCGGACAGGACGGAAATGTACGGGGCAGGAAATGCGGCGTCGGCCATGCAGAGGCGAGCACCTGGTGGTGCTCCTGTTTGGTCTCCTCATGGTTACTCCACTCACACGGCAGCCTTATTGCAGGGTTGTGTAGTCGTACTTTACCAGTGCCGTGTGTATGCTACCGTGCCCGCCTGCTTCATGCCGTCCGGCAGCGGACTGAAAGCGACGGACCCCTCTTAAAACCATTGAGGCAAGATAACGAAGCCCCGAAGGGCGGTGTTGCGTTAACACTCTTTCCGTTACTGTGGGCTTACCATACAGACGGACATACATACATACATACATACAGACAGACAGACATCACCAGCGCCAGAGCTGATTTAGTGGCCAGCTGTTTACCACTAACATGCCTCCTTGCTGGTTTGCCCGCAGGCGGGTACTCACAAGGATATTTGTACGACGTGGGGTTCCTGTCCTCCGTCATGTTTGCACTGTTGGCCGTGCCGCAATCTACAGTGATAGACCTGGAACAGAGAGACGAGGCGTTGCCCCAGGTGCCGCCAAGTAGCGGCAGACACTGCGCCAGGCTACGAAGTGTGCGGACGCAGGAACAGAAACCGCAGCAGGTCGATCACGGACCGTGCATAACACATCACAGGGTGGACAAGGCAGCATAGCACAACACAGCAATACAGAACAGTACTTGAGAGCGTGGCGCAATGCATGAGGTCATTGTATGCATGATATGAAGCAAAACTGTACGCGAGTTGAGTATTCAACAACCCGCTCTGCAGTTAGCCGTACTCCGGGTGCAAGGATGGGGGTATAAAGTGGTACCCAAGAAATGGCGCCTATGCATGGACTTATATATCCTTTTCTTGCGTACCCTGGACAGCGTTAACGGACAGCTTTTACATATGCACACCTCACCTGCTTTCAGTGCCGTTGCAGGTGGGAAGGAGCCAGGTGCGCAGCTGTTTAGGGGGATCTCCTAAGTAGTCCGGGCTGACGAAGCGTCCGGTCGAGTAACCTAGTTGCCTGTGTCATACGCAGGTAGAAAGGGGTACAGCAAGGCGAAGGTTGGGCACTTATCACATATGTGACGTATTATCGATATTCGTGAAGTACGGAAGAGGTGCGTGTCTGGGCGTTGACGAAACGTAGATGTGACCGATGTTACCGTTGCTTTCTTGCTTATCAGTGGCTAGGGGAAAGCAGTCAGGAGGCACAGACCCTGCCTGTTGCGCACCGTTGCAGTGGCCTAACGGGCTCTAACTGATTTCCATGTATAAGGTCCTAACCAACTGATCCGCCACCAGGAGGGCCTTCCCCACGCACGCAGGCGAATCGACCTCCGCAAGCATAGGTATTTTTGCTCACACGCCTGAGTGAGCCAGGACGGCGCCCAAGCGCTTTCCGTGCTGGGCATATTGCTAACCGACCGCGTCTGCGTACTAAGCAACTTGCCTATAACGCTGCAGTGTGGCAAGAACAGTACGCATGTATTGTGCACCATGCGCGCACGGCGACCGAGCAACCAAGCCTGCCTAAATCAAATCCTGGCTTGATATACACAGCCTGCGCAAGCGTGGACTACAGTGCTTGTTTCGGTGAAGGTCCTCTGCGATTACCCACTCCTTTTCCATCTCGCTCAAACATGCCCTTCAAACCCTCAAACCCCCTTCTATGCGGGCACGACGGACGCAACAGCGAGAGCCCAGCCACCTGCATATGACTTGGGCGTTTGGGACATCGTAGGGATCCTCGCTGCAAACCAGGCCCCAGCTGCCATCCCTACAAATTTCTGGCAGCAAGCACACAAACCAGCAAGGGTGGGTGCATTTAGTGGGGGGGAAAGTATGCGGCGCAGATACAGGACGGGCCTTTTTTGTTCCAAGAATCCGTCGTCCTTCAGTAAGCGTGCACACCTCCAACTGGCCGTACATATACCGTACAGATTCAAGAGGCAAACGAGAGCGGCAAGGGCAACGTGGGCGATGTTGCCCTTCCGAATCGGCCTAGGTTCCCAACGATGGCCATGGTTGCAACCTGGGACAATTGACAGCTGCTCATAGAGAAATGAAAACCGGGAACAATACAGCTTCTCAACCTCCCGCACGCCTGCCTCACGCCTTACCTACGCGCCCAACTGCAGCGTTTGGCCCATCGACTAGCCGTATGCTGCCTGCTTGGCCTATAGAACCTGCGAAACGAGGCACAAACAAGCATGCGGCGGGGGCGGCTGCCATGAGGAGCGCGCGTATTGATGGCTACAGCCGGGTGCGGAGTGGGCAGCGCACCAAAGGCTTGTACATAGTCCACGTAGACACCCAGCAGCCACCTCGGTCAGGATGGTACTACTAACAACAAACTTACAACTTTGGTTGCCAAAGTCAGCCGGCGGTGTTGGGGACGGAGTCTTCTCGTCAGCGCCCTGCCCAGGCTGCCACATCCACCGCGTCAGGCTGTCGAAATGCAGCGCATCTATAGGTGTCCAAATGGACAGGTCGGCGAGCTCTGGGCTGCTGGGACCTCCGCTGAGGACGCCCAGGATGCGGTAGTCGCTCAGGTCGAAGATGGGAGAACCCGACTGGCCACCGATGGTAAAGCACCAATTGTAGCTCATGACAGTGGGGTAGCAGCCGTTGCTGGTAAAGTAGCAGTCATCGCCTGGTTTACGTATATCAAGGTTCGACACACACACATGTTTAGTAGGTTTGGAACGTGTGGGGAGGGAAAGTCGATTGGATGGGGCAAAGGCCGACGGGCAGCTACACGACGGGCAGCTACAGCTACACGACGGGCAGCTACAGCTACAGCTACAGCTACAGCTTAATTATTAGGTTACAGCTTCCAAACGCACGTACGCTGCGAAGATAACACCAGCAACGTGCTGGTTGTCTTACATGTTTGGTAGTCGTAGGCGTAACCTTCTTGTCCATAGCCACAAGTTTGCGTCTTCGGGTAGTCGATCTGCCACCAGCAGTAGCAGCAGCAGCAGTAGCAGCAGCAGCAGCAGCAGCAGCAGCACACGAATAGGTCCATGGCTTGTGAAGAAGCCAGCTTGTTCTTTTCTCGTTTGTGTGGCCGTCAATTTCAGTTGCATCTTTAGTCAGGCCCTACCAAGCAAATTTGCAATGTGCACAGCAGGGAGTCACATGCATGGCACAACATGCATCCGACCATGTCGCCGTGGCGCGGCCTTAGCACTGTGCCTTTATGTACACAGCCGTATTCTGCCGTACTTAATGTTCCACTGGTAACGAGGTGATGGTACTGCATGTAAGAGGATCGAGCGAGCAGGACCGCAAACACAGCCCTGGTGGTCATGCGCATGACCACTCCCACACCAAGACACCGCACTACCTAGTTCCTGCCACACGATCCCACTCGCACCTGTGTACACGAGTACTTGATGCCCATGTAGGACAATGTTGGGGACTTCATCCGGATGAGAGCGATGTCAAAGTAGTTGACACCGCCGCCGCCAGTGCTGCATTATCGGTAGCGAGGGCAGAGACGGCAGAATACTTAGGGTGTGCGTATAATTGCGGAAGTGTTTTCTTTGACGTCATGGTGCGTGTATGCCCGTCAGTCTTTTGTGTGCATTATGTCGCTGGTCGTAAAGGTGGCCGCACCTTTATAATCTACGAAGCAGAATGTAGGCTGGACGCTCCATCTGGTTCTGCCTTCTAGCTGCTGCGGGCGGCACCTCCATCCATCGATCACTTAGTCAAAACCCGTCCACTACTCCGCTACAGATTGTAGATTACATATTACAGATCCCCCGTCTTGCATACGTCTACACTGTCTACACTTGCGTATTCCTCTCCTACCGGGGGTATTCCACTCGGTAGAATGTGAAGAAGGAGTAAGGAATGGCGCCATCGGGGACAACGTCCGCGACCTGTGATGGGAAGTATTCGGGTTTCAGAAAATTTAGATGCAGCAGCAGCGGCAGCAGGTGCTGGAACAGCGGCGCGGTCGCACCAGTGTGACGGGGGGGGGGGGAAGAGAAGGAAACAGACAGATCACGCACGTGATATTGAAGTTACGGAAATCGAGGCGCGACGAGGCGTGTGCGCCCGATGTTCGTAAGGAAGGGAAGCGAAAGCTGCGTCTAGTAGCGTGGCCATTTCGACTTTCCTGTAGCGCGCACGCCGGTCATTTGTGATGAAATCAAGAGCCTCGCGCAACATTCGTATGTTGCCCTAGCACCCCAAGCAAATACTCTAATGCTTCTGTAACGGGCAGGATGCCCTTCATGCCGTACGTACCCAGCTGTCTTCTATACAGCCGCCGGCCACCTTATTTCTCCGTACCTTTCCTGCCTCAAATGTGAATAGGCGCGATTGGATATTCTTATTGATGTCTATTACGCAGTGGCCCGCAGTCAAGACGTCGTACGGCGATATCCATGTGCCTGTACGTCATATACCACATATGGGGTGGCCAAATAATGAAGACATAATGAAGCCGCCGGTGATGCATATGGCATGCGCAGTTCAGATAGCAGTACGATAAGGTAAACACAGTTGAGCGTCAACTATTGTGATGATCGCCCGCTGCTGTCAACCTGGGCCCCCGGCTATTCTCCCCGCGGTCTCACCAGTGCAAAGATACCATGTGTTTTTCACGGTGAAGGTCAGCCGCCCGATGACGGTGTGCGGCCAGACCAACACGTTCGCAGGGTATCGATCATCTACAAGGCTGCGTCTATGTGCCCGCGTCTGTTGCAGCAATCCTAGTTTTTTGAGCTTGGATCGCTGTCCTTGTCCCTGCTGCTGCTGTTCTTGCTGCTGTTGGCCTGGCTGCTGCAGCTCCGTGCCCGCCTCCCCTTCCCCCTCTTCTTCCTCTGCTTGTTCCACTTCATGCCCGTGGGCATACTCGTGATCCGAATTTTTCCGCTGCTGCTGCAGAATTTCATTCAGCGTAGGCCAAGACGAGGTGTGGTTGCGAGGGCACCTGCTGGTGATAATAGCTCCTGCTGCAAGCATTTGCCCTCTGGTCCCCGTGTGACGATGGCGACTTAGCTGCTGCTGGAGCCTTCGCGCCTTACGAGTTGCGCTGCCCTGGGTTACCCTGCTGCCGCTGAATTCGTTCGGCGGCGGAGCCATGCCGTAGTCATGACCTTCATGTGGCTGTTGGTCCTGTTGCTCTTGGCTTGATGCATCAATTTTGGAATGGTTCGTCTGACTGCTCCGCGGCAGGATGCCCAAGTCAACGTCCCGAGGTTGGGACTCCATGTACACTGCACCATCCCTTGTCACACGGATGGCCCGTATTCGCAGCTGTGTTGGGGCTTTGGATGCGGCTGCCGCGGCTGTAGCATATGCACTGCCGCCGCTGGTATTAACGCCAACAGTACTGGTACTGGCACCAGCCTCCGATGCAGCGCTCCTCGTCCTGCAGGTTCCCACAGGAGCGAGTGATCGTGTGGAGCCTCATAGGTCCATGCAAAACTTTCCCGATCATTTTAGATCCAATAAGCAGGAAAACGTGTCAAGCTCACTATGTAAACGTTGCGGGTTCGATCCCGCCAATGGGTGATGGCATGCTATGAATTGCTAAGCGCAAACATATCAACGGTACACACAGTACACACGGTACACACCGCCGCCGCCTCCTTTCCTGTGGATAGCATTTCGATATAGTCCAGAAGGTGAACTCACGCTAACAAGCTACTGATGAAGGCTGCTGCGTCTCCCGGACCGGGGCCTTCCTTGGTCACTGTCAGGTGCCCCACGTACACGAAACCGTCCTCCACAAAGCTAGACACCACAAATTGGCCCGCACCCTGGTCATTGCTACCGCTGCTGCCGTTGATGCCACTGCTAGTGCTGCTGCTGCCGTTAGCGATGACGCGTGTGCCAATATTCAGGTCGCCCGACGGCGCCCCGGGGACGAAAGGTATGGACAGCCCCTTCGAAAGCGGGTCGGATTCTGCATATGAAAGGAAGGCATATAAAATCTTCAACCAAGGAAGAAAGGGATTTATGGGCTATTAAGGGCAAGGAACGAGGTTTATGGCTTCAAAACGCATTTAGGCAGCGAACGTCAACTGTGACTGTCAGTTGGTGAAGTGGATTGTACGAACATCATGCAAGAGATGTATTGACTTAGTTGCGATTCCATAAACAGGTAAGCAGTATGTTGTTGTGAAGCATGATTCGAATCGTTGGCTTGGAAGTCATGTATCCTGATTATAAAGTTTGAAACCTTGTACATGGATTTACCGTTACACCAAGCCCTATGAACTTACCTTGGCAGAATCCTTTTTGAGCCACGGTGAGGCCTTGGCACTCCGCCAGGCAGCGAGAGGAAAGGGTGACGCCCACCGTTGTGCAGACAGGTTCAGCTGGGACCCCGAAACATTGATTACAACTAATCGCACTAGCAGTTGCATATATTGACCAGACTGCTGCTAGGAAAAGCGCATATAAAAGAGCTGAGGCGGCCATGGAGGGCGCTTCTTGGCCTCGTCGTCCGCAAAAGGACTTCCTCGAGCTATGACATGATAGTCAAGAATTGATTCAAAAGAATGGGCTGATAGACCCTAGCAATGCAACTACTTGGAATAAACGTTGCTGTGTTTTCGAAAGTTGGCATATGACAAAGGCTCCTAAGCTAAAAGTTCTAAATGATTATGAAATATCCCATCAGAGCCCCACCACGTTGTGAAGATGGTTATAGCACTAAGAGGCGCATCACGGCGTACAGTAATCACGACTGACTACACAGGAACTCACAGAACCACGCTTTACCCATGGCAAACAGGTCACGCTAGGCAAGCTAAAAAATTGCACTGGGTCGTAAACTAACAATAAATCGTAATGCGGCTCGTCCTTATAGTGGCTTGCGGTGCTTCTCAAGGGTAGGTGATCAAGACGCGAGCTGGGAATTTCCTCGCAGTTTCCTTAGGCTCCGACAACTTTTGGCATATTAAGCAGTTCAGGTCACAGACTCGATCATCATTTTACCCGCCAATCGCACCTGCTGCTTGATCTTTCAATCTGTCCCATCGTTTCTTGGCGCCCATTTCTTATTTCACGAAGGCCGAAAGGGCCGAAAGCCATAGTGGTAACAAAAGTTAAGTTTGGATTTCCAGTTATTTTTCTCCGGCTGAGATTGTTTGGTTACACTACGCTCCTTCGTACTCCTTCGTGTGTGTGGTTGTTACAGTGGGCTCCAGACTCCCGAAGAGTAGAGCCATCGGGCCAGCTGGCCGTGCACTGCAGTAGAGACTAATATACCAAAAGATTATCATCTCAGATAAT